ATTGGATATTTTCTTGTTCTCCGTATGGTTTTTATCCATGGTGCGTAATGGAAGCGCGGGCTGGGCAAGTCCGCTGATGAGGTTCAGTAATCTCAACATCTCATGACCCTTGAGGTGCACAATCCGAGAAGGGAGAGCGTCGACTATCATATCATGATATTGTATCAAAATAAATATTATATGAACATGTCTTGCATGACAATAAATAAATATGATTATCTAAGATACTCGCTCCGTTTCTACATATTAGTCTCTTTAGAGATTTCAATAAGGACTATACAGAATTTTTTTTTTAGAACGTACTTTAGAGTTTATATTCATTTATTTTGCTCTGCATGTAGTCCATATTAGAATCTCTAAAAAGACTTATAATTACAAACGGCAGGAGTACTAGTAATTTATAATACTATCCATTACGGAGGTAATATCATATGCATGATACTACGGGCAGACCAAGTAATATATTATCCATTGTTTTTTCTCGCAATGGGTTATCATGTTTCCGTAAACCGTGATGAAAGGGAGATAAATGGGGTACTTATGGTTCTGTGCATGAATAATATGTAGGTGTCTGAGGGGTTATCCTCCCATTCACAACAAAAATATCATCAGAATACGCCAAAGTGTTAAGTTGATTTTGGTGCGAGGCGGCCCCTGGGTGGGTTGATGCTCTTTTTTTCGAATGGTGGCCGGCCGCCGAGTCTGGAGTTGGACGTTTTGGTTTTGTTTTGAAACTATGTGATGGAACGAGTGCGGGTGATCCCAGCAACCTGTTTTGCTTTCTACTCACTCCGTTTCAAAATAGATAACTCAATTTTATACAAAAATTAGTATAAATTTGAGTCATCTATTTTGAAACAGAGAGAGTATATAGCAGGGCTTGGTACCTTTTTTTCTCTTAGTTAAAAGGTTACGGTCTCAAGCAGATCTATCCAAAATGGTATCCAGGCATGAGGCGAGGCTCCAAAAAGTATGAAGATGCTAAACAGGTGATCCATCTACCGTGTCATAAACAAAGACGGGGGCTAAAGGCTAGACTGTGGAGTCGTCACTCGTTAATATCTGATCTGTATACCAATTAAACACACTCTAAAGGTTCACACATCGTTCTCAAATAGAAAGAAGAAGAAGAAGCTCACACTCTCACGCTGATTGGAGGAAGGAAAACATCAAAGATTAAAGATGGTCACAAGGACGGTAAGTAGTAGGCTTGTACCCCTTCCACTCGTACCCAAGGCACCCAGCCGCTTAGGGTTCCTCGTACCTCCCACCAGCGCCAGTCTACATCGCCTCCTAGTCTTAGGGCCATGGAGGCGTGGTGGATCTCGGCCTTTGCCGGTGAGATGGCTCCATTTTTAGGTGATTTTTTGAGTTTTCTTATGGTTTGTGTTCTGCTTAGTGAGGTGAGACGACAGCGGCTTTCTGAACATAGAATAAGGTTCTTCCTGCTTAATCCCCATCCCGGTGGTGCTTCTAGTATTATCGGAGAGCGTGTGAAGATTTGTCTCCGGCGAATCTCATGAGATTCGGTCGGTGTTATCTTCGGTGGATTCATGTGGATCCAGTTTTTGTTTATCTTTGTTTGTGGAGTGAATTGCAAAAAACATTGACACTTCAGGCTAGGTTTGCAGGTACCACAAATTTACGAAATTGTACCAAAAAGTACAAATTTTTTTTCATAATTTTTTGCAAAAAAACACTAGTCACTCGGTTCAGTCGTTTTAAGCAGGATTATGGCAGGTGGGTCCCGCTTTTGCCGACGTGGCGTAACGGTTTGCAGGTGACGCTGTTAGACCAGGGATTTTACACCGACACCCTTCTTCAAAAATTAAAAAAGCAATCAGGCCCTTATCTTCGTATTTCTCTCCTGCCTGCAGCTAGCGATAGCCCTTAGCCGCCAGAGCAGCAGCTGTCACGGGCGTCGGACACAGGAGCACCTGCTGCTTTCACCGGCGCTGATGCCAGGCAGGGGCGACGGAGGGCCGTGGGACGACGGCGAAGCTCTTTGGTGAGCCTCCCTGCCGACCCGTCGTGCACGACCGCGAGCAGCAGCAGCGCCTGCAGCGACGGGCGCGAGCAGCGACGGGGACGGGCGTGCATGGGAGCAAGCATCAACCGCTCCGGTTGCGACGGGCGCGCACGGGAGCAAGCTGCAGCCGGGACAAGCGCGCACGGGAGCGGCAGCCGCCGCACCGGCCGCGACGGACGCGCACGGGAGCAGCCACCGCACCGGCCGCGACAGGTGCGCGAGCAACGGCGGGAGTGATCTTCAAAGTGGATTTCTTTGCAATCTAATTGTGATCTTCAAAGTGGATTTTGAAAAGGCATATGAAAAGGTCAAATGGCCTTTCTTACAGCAGGCCATGCGTATGAAGGGTTGTAATGGGGCATGGAGGAATCAGGTGGATTCTTTTGTCCAGAAAGGCGGTGTCGGGATTAAAGTGAATGATGACATTGGTCATTATTTCCAGACGCATAAAGGCCTAAGACAAGGAGACCCGATGTCTCCTGTTCTGTTCAACATTGTGGCTGACATATTGACCGTTCTAATAGGCCGAGCCAAGGAGAAAGGCCTGGTAGATGGGCTTGTTCCCGATTTGGTGGATAGGGCATTTCTATCTTACAATATGCTGACAACACTATTATATTCATGGAGCATGGCCTTGCAAAGGCAAGGAATATGGATCTTGTTTTGTGCCTCTTTGAACAATTGTCTGGTCTGAAGATCAACTTTCACAAGAGTGAATTGTTCTGCCTTGGTAGGGCCAAAGATGACCAAGACAGCTATAGACAATTGTTCGGTTGTGAACTGAGATCATTACCATTCAGTTATCTAGGCATTCCAATCTATCATAGGAAGTTAACCAATAAAGAGTGGAAATGTATCGAAGATCGATTTGAGAAAAAACTAAGCCGCTGGAAGGGTAAGCTTATGTCATATGGAGGACGGCTAGTATTGATAAATTCAGTACTAACGAGTATGCCAATGTTCCATCTATCTTTCTTTGAGGTGCCCAAAGGGGTACGAAAGAGACTTGACTTTTATCGATCTCGTTTTTTCTGGCAGACAAACGAGGTTAAGACAAAATATCGCCTGTCAAGATGGGATATTATTTGTCGACCAAAAGACCGGGGGGACTTGGGATCGAGAACCTCGAGATTAAAAATAAATGCCTTTTGAGCAAATGATTGTATAGATTATCTCAGGTATCGGATGGTATGTGGGCACAAATCCTAAGAAATAAATACTTGCACTCTAAAACTCTAGCTCAGGTTACCGTGAGGCCTAATGATTCGCCATTTTGGAAGGGACTCATGAGAACGAAAGAGACCTTCTTCCATAGGGTGAAATTCGTCATTGGGGACGGAACGACAACAAGATTTTGGGAGGATACATGGCTAGGCGACTTGTCGCTAGGTCTCCAGTATCCTTCCCTGTATCATATTGCTCAACGTAAGGAGGATTACGTAGCAACAGTATTGCAGACGGTATCTTTGAACATCCAGTTTAGGAGGGCTCTAGTAGGGGAACGATGGAATTCCTGGCTACACTTGGTGCGGAGGTTGATGGACGTTCAACTCTCAGATCAAGGAGACACCTTGAACGGGAAGGTAACGGGTAATGGTGTGTTTTCGATCAAATCTATGTACTTAGACCTCATTAATTCTGGCCCAATCCCAAGATCGTTACACATTTGGAAAGTTAAGGTTCCCTTGCGAATCAAAATTTTTACGTGGTTCGTTCATAAGCATGTGATCCTTATCAAAGATAACTTACTAAAGTGATGATGGTTCGGCAGTTCATGATGTTGCTTTTGTGTTCACGACGAAATAATTCAACACTTATTTATTGATTGCCCTCTCGCGAAGTTATTTTGGCGGTCCTTACATATAGCTTTTAATATTATTCCTCCAGTTAGTATAGAAGCGTTGTTTGAGACGTGGCTAAATGGAGTGAATCCTGATATTGCGTCAAGTATTCGGATTGGAATATGCGCACTGCTTTGGGCTATATGGAACTGCAGGAACGACATTATTTTTAACAGACTTTATGTGATTAACTTCTTGCAGGTTATCTTCAGAGCTACGACATGGATCTGTACGTGGTTGTTACTCACTCCTTTGGCCTCCATGGAGCATTTGGCTACTTGGTGCAACCGATGGGAGATGGTAGCATGGGTTATCTTCAACCGGTTTGGATGGCGGTCGCATCATAGGATAGGTCCTTAATGTCATTCGTCCAGCCGGTTGTGCCTTTGAGTTGTTTTATTTTGCATTGCTCCTTTTGAGAGCTGTACTTTGCAGACCAGATTATTTGTTTTGATGTACTTGATTCAATAAAGTGGCCGCATGCATCTCTTCGATGCAGAGGCCGGGGGAAATCCTCCTTTTCAAAAATAAAAAAAATAAAATTATAACCTACTCTTTGCCTTGAGTTCTGCTATATTTTGATGGTTCTGTGGTCGTCACTGAAAATGGAATAGATCATCTCCGCTCCAGAGATATGGAAGCAAGCACTGTACCGGATTCCTAAGAGGGGTACAGAAATTAACAGTACAATATATTTTTTCCAGATCATAAATATAATAAGAGTAGCCATACAATCAGAAGATCTCATTGGGCAACACAAACAGCTCAGCAAGATTCCATTCAGTTTAGTAGTTGAAGTGTTAGTGCTGGTCTCTTTTTTATCTTTCTCCAGAAGAAGCAGCACAACACACCATACCTGACGGCATCTTCTGGTGCTGTCAATAGAATGTGTCAAACGAGAACATGCACGAAGTTACGCGGCTTCTTTTTTTTCTACTACATACGGAGTCATGTACTGTCCATAATCTCAAACCCCTACAAATATCTCTAGAAAAGAGTTCTTGACATGATGCTCCAACCATATCACTAGCAAAAGATACAACTTAACACACCTCTTGACATACTTACACATCCACAGCACTCGCAAAAGTCAGCAAGAGGGACGGTGCCTCGGCATGCATACGGTACTACTAGTGACCTTTGATGCTGATTTCCCCGCCTGGGATGACAATCGGTAGCAGCACCTTCACCAACGCGCTGACTCTTGGATCATCTTTGCCGCAGTAGATCATGGTCCTCTCGATGCTAGGATAGCCGCCCAACGACGAGTCCCCTCTTGGTGACCGATCACGCTCAGCAGCCTTGCATGGTCGAAGCTGGTCCTGTATTCAGTGTGTCAAAAGGAAGCAGTGGGTAAGCACATTACTTCAAGGTTACAGGCATATCGATCTGAAAGCAGGAGTAGTACCATTCTGAGCTTAAAGGTCAGATACTTCAGTTTAGGAGAGAAGTTGGAGGCCATGCACCATTCGCCAAGCACCAGGCTTATGAGGTTGCTGAACACCGGGCATGTTTCCAAACACCTCTCTCGCGTGGGCTTCTTGTTCATGCAAGATGAAATTAAACATAGCTAGTTAAAATAGCAACACGACATACATGAAGGGAAATAGTTGGTCAACAACATAAAGGCAGATGGTATCTTGTGTTAATATCAAGCAATTAATATCGCAAAATCTAGCAAGGCAATCAACAATATTCAGGTAACTCGGACACAACGGAAAAGTGAATAGAGAACAACCCAATCCATCATACCTCAAGTAATGGTGCATGTAGCTCCAAGGTTGTGACACGTGAGAGGCCGTCAAGTATACCATGATACAGCTCCAAGGCACTTAGACTTATTGAAGCTGTAACTAGAGAATACAGATCCCTTGTTACTATAGCATGCCCTCCAAAAACTGGGTCGAGGATGTACAGATGGTTCAGATTCGGAGCACAAATCTCAAGATCTCCGAAGACTTCGCAGCAGGTTATACGTATAGTCTGCAGTGACCTCGATGAGATCTTATTCTTCACACAGTTGACAATGCAACAGTCCAGCTCTAGATGTTCAAGCACAGGGAAATAAAAATTCAGTGGCCTAAGGGATGTGTCAGTCAAAGTGACTTCTTGGAGCCTGATTATTTTCAGGTGCTGAGAACGAATCATCGATCTATCATTGAATTCTACTCGGAGGAAGCGATGAGCATAAACATGAAGCAGCCGAGCTTTATGCTTGATGGCATGATGAATCCACAAATCATATTTGTCAGACAAATCAGCACCTCCAATAAAGATCCGAGCCTCATCCAAGGGCACCGCGCCATCACGCAAGAGTAGCAAGTGGTCCCCAAACTTCTGCAGCCTATTCTCATCCAGCTTCAACCAATCATGATCATCAACACCAATAACAAAAGAATCAGCAGTAGCATCCACAAATTCCTTGAAATCTAGGTGGATGAAGGGCACGGAGGCCCAGAGATCGCGCCACCTTGGCGAGAGCAAGCTTGTGCGCACGACTTCTCGCATCGGCAGGAAGGACATCACGAGATGGAGCAGCGGGTCAGGAAGGCTGCTGAGTCTGTCAGCACTGTGCGCTGCTGGTCCGTGCGACCTCTTGGAACTGGATGCCGGTGCAGACATTTTGTCAAAGGGCTGCATGACTCCAACAAGACAACGCATCATTAATCAAATACGCACTACAGAAATCTTGGGAAAACGTGTGAGAGGATTTGGCCCAATACATGATACGATTATCAATACATATCTACCAAAACCAATGGTATTATTAACAACGGCAAGCTATTAATACTTAATGCAGAGAAAAAACTTTTCAATTAGGAAACTGTAATTCCAACAATTAACTCAACATTCTCAACTAAAATAATTATCAATGCCCAACTGTGACCGAACGGGACAAGCCTGCTCTGCTTTAAACAGGAGGCAACTAAATGTGTTGGGATTCACAAAAAATGTAAAAGTGCTATTAGATGCAAAGCATGGCAATCGATTTTCATCCGTATAGAAATTTCTACCCATCATACAACAACTCTCGATGGAGAGATACCAGCGGATTCCAAATGAAGCTCATTAAATCATTGTGTCATCCGTTGAGTGTCTTTTGGGTGTCCATTAAATCATTGTCTCATCCGTTTACATACTTGCTGTGTATCAACCAGTTTGTTGACATAGAATACTTGCACATCCAACCGATGGCAAGCGAAAGTATGAAGTCCGTATTTGACACCCAAAGTCACTAATTACCTAATAAATTTCAAACTAGTGTTTCCTCCCCCCTACATGCACTGAGTTAGCTAGCATCGAACGGCATCCAAATGAACCCACTTTCTGTTTTCCCAAAAGAATATTCACATTTATAACAAATGAAAATTGGCCTCTCAATCTGGTAATATCACGGGTAACAAAGGCGTTCTTCTTCAGTCATCATGTAGCATAACACACGGTAAAAATGAACTGAACAATTGCGAAAGCAGACCCAAAATGGGGCTACACAACGGTAAAAATAGTAAGTTATCCAAACAGATTCATGTAAGCAAGCCGCACCACGAAACTATGATCTGTATGTATACTTGACACTTGTAGTCAGTCACTTGGGACCAGATGAAACTAATTTTCCAATCGTGTTTTCAAAATGAAATAAATAAATAAATAACTCCAATCTGCCACGGGAAACAAGTAATGTTTGCTACTCTCCCGGCTTAAGCCTTCGTCCGCAGCAGCGGCCAACAGCCCCCAGCCGCAAGCTCCGTCCACCCACTGCGGCCGGCCGGCCGGCGCGACAGCGCGTTCCTCGGCCCTAACCCTAGCCGCTGAACGAATCCCCACCGTCTAATCATAAAACGCAGAGACCCATCGTTAGTCACTGACCTAGTAGTACGCAGCTGGGAGGCAGGACGGCGTCTCCGGCGTCGGCGGCGCTCGATCGATCGACGTCGGCGAGGGACGCGGCGGCGGGAAGTGGAGGACACTCACTGGCGACCACTGTAGACACAGTGAGCTGGAATGGGGAGAACAGAATGGGTCGAATCGGAAGCCCACTGTATGCTAGGCCCGGTGTCCCGGTGTCCCGATTGGGCTTACAACTCTCTTTTTTTGTGGCAAACCCAGCTTACAACTCGGGTACCGCTCAAAAAAAAAAAGCTTACAACTCGGGTGTAATGTGTTAACCAGCTATCTTGGCAGCTGTTGCTAAAAAAAAATAAAAAATCGTGGCAACTTCTAAAAAAAATAATCTTGGCAGATATTTATTTATTTATTTTTGCGATTTTTTTTCGATCTATACATCTTCAATCATAGCAGTACAATGAACACTAGAACTAACAAAAATTACATCCAGATCAATAGACCACCTGCACCCCATCTGGATCGTTATCCCGTGGGACGGGATCCACCGTTTTTTATCCATCCCGTTCTAGTTTTTCTAAACTAACCAATGAATCTGGTCACAACGACAGGCAATCGATGGAAACCACAAATCAGCAATCGATACTTCCCGTATACAACATCAATCAGCCATCGAACAGAAAACAACAATCTAGAGTTCCATATTAGCGGCGCAACACAAATGGAGTAGAGATGTTTTCTCATGTACAATACCTAACCTTTCCATATTACCGACGGAACATAATTTGAAACACAATTCAAAATTTTCATTGGGCGGGGCTGCGAGCTCTGGTTCTCCGCCGCTGCTCGGTGGTGCTGCGAGATCTTGTTATCCACCTCTCCTAGCACGTGCTGCTAATGCCAAATGTCTGATCTAGCGGAGAAGGAGGCATATGCGAGTTTTTTTTTCTTTGATTCTATATGTTCATGAGGAGATTTTTTTTCAAATCGGACAAATACATCAGTTCGAGGAAAAACAGGAGAATGGAAAGGAAGAAAGCGAGTTCGACACATTACCAGGAAAACCACTGTAACAGCTCGACATCGAAACGGCCACTATGGGACTAAAACCTGGCAACACCACATCAAAGGACTATCCTATTACGGACAGGGATCCGCATCCAAAAGTTCAAAAGACTAGCGACAGTACATGCCAACAAAATGCACTAGTAGACGAACATCACCCACAAGCTAAACCAAGATCCATCTATCACACCAGCTTTAGGCCTCCCCAAGCGTCCTTCTGGCGGATTCGCAAGTTCTCATCAGCATCATCGTTCCTTCACAAATCGCCTGGATACCTCCTCGCATCTTCTTAGGATCTCCTTTCGTCTAAAGCCCTGCCCAATATAGCAAGAAAGAGCATGTTCTAAACACTATCTCAAAAGGGGATTTGATTGGTTTTTTCTCAAAGGTAGCTCGATTTCGAGCTAACCAAATAGCCCAAGTAACAGCAGCCAAACCCACGGTATAAAACCGGTCGCCCCCGGGGAGGTATTTGTGGCACCGGAGTAGTATTGCCAGTGATTTTTTGGACAAATATCTGTGTCCAGCATCATACCGATGGACCGCCAAACCACACGAGCAACATGGCAGGCGAAGAATAAGTGTTGAGAAGTCTCACGAGCTGTGCAAAAAGAACAACTCGGGTTGCCAGGCCAGTGTCGATGTTTCATAACATCTCTAGTAAGGATAGCATCCTGAAACAACCGCCAGAGGAAAATCTGGATTTTTAAGGGGATCTTAGCGTCCCAAATCCACTTAAAATTGCAGCCACTGAGTGGTATTTCTAACCATTTATACATGGATTTAGTAGTATAATGAGCAGTTTTGTTAAGCCCCCAATACACATTGTCTTTTTCAGATGAGTGTTGAACCGTAGCCATCAAGGCACACATTTCACTCCATTGGTTAGCCAGCTCCGGATTCAGTCTCCTACGAATAAACGAGGAGATAGAAATGATGTCCCACCTATCAACTGTATAGTCCTACTCATTGCAGATCTCAAACAACCCTGAAAATTGTTCACACAAAGGGGATAGCCCTTTGATAGTGTCATTCCAAAGTCTAACAAGACCACCGGATCCAAGTTATGATTTTTCTGCCCATCATATATAGTTCCTTCACTTTCAGGAGAGCTTTCCAGCAAGGCGAGTCAGAGAACTTGGTTTTAACCGTAGTCACCGACTGCTTTCTAAGATATCTAGCTTTCACAATATCCTGCCAAATACCTTGTTGCATATCTAACTTCCACCACCACTTGACCATGAGGCTGATATTCTGTTTACGAAGGTCCTTTACTCCCATGCCTCCTTTACTCTTAGATCTGCGTATTCTACTCCATCTAACCAGGTGGTATCTTCTCTTTTTGTTGCAGCCTTGCCAGAAAAATCTCCTTCTATGTTTATCTAATTTTTCAATGAAGGTTTTGTTCATCAACCACATGGACATGTGGTATAAAGATAATGTGTTACTACAAAATTTAGCAGGGTGTCCCCCCCCCACACCCACACACACATGGAGGCATCATTACCAACCCAAGCATCAAATCTCTGAAGATATTTGCCCTCAAGGAAGTCCCAGTCGCCAATTCTCAAGGAGGTGACACTCACATGCATCCCTAAATATTTAAGTGGGAAGCTTCCAACCTCACAATTAAAGAGATCAACATATGCTTGGTTCGTGGCAGCATCCCCACCAACAGTCAAAAATTCACTTTTTTTAGAAGTTATCTTTGAGATCAGACATCATTTCGAAGATGTATAACAACAGCTTCATGTTTCGAAACGCACGCTGTGGCTTGAACTCGAGACCCCGCATTGGCGTTGTTCGAACGACGCAACTAACCACCAGGGACACTACATACATTGAGATAACTTCCTCCCTTTTTCTTCTTTTCTTCTTTCTTTCCTTTCCTTTTTCTTTCGTTTTTTTTGTTTTTGTTTCATTTTAATTTTTAGTTATCTTTTAAATTCAAGATTTATTTTGAAGTTGGCGATTTTTTCCCAAATTTGCATATTATTTCTGAAGCCTGTAATTTTTTATTTTTTAAAAGCTCGAGTTTTTTTAAGCTGTATAAAAACCGGTGGCCATTTTACTAGGAAATAGCAAACCAAAAAAATAACCTTGTGAAGCAGAATTTCAAAAGAAAAAAAATCACGAAATTTGAACAAAATGTTCACGGTTTCAAGAACCTCCATGAAAAAAGAGTTCGTAGATTTTTTTATTTTATTTTCTACTTTTGTTTCTTTTGTTTCTTTTTCCTGTATTTATACAAAGTTCATTGCGAATATTAAGGAAATGTTCGGGGTATATTTACAAACATTTCACTCATTTATAAAAATGTTCATCGTATATTAGAAATTTGTTCAGTGTATATCATGCATATGTTCAATGTTCGAAGATAGTTTGACATATATTACAAAAATATTCAATGCGTATTTTTTTTAAAAAATCGATGCATATATTCATATTTGTTTTCAAAAATGTTCAATGCATATTCGAAAATTGTCCAACACATATATTTATAGTTTTTTTTGCAAGCCTGCTATTCAATAGCTCCAGATGGGCTGGATTTTATATACTTAAAATAATCTGAGCATTAGAAATATATTTACGGGATTTTAAAACAATATGGAAATTTGAAAAAAAAGTTCGTAGCTTTCAGATAAGGTTCTCGAATTTAAGAAAAAATGGAAAATGAAAAAGAAAAAAGAAAAAGGAAAGAAAAGAAAGAAGAAAAGGAAGAAAAAGGGAGCAACGGAACACAACGCAAGTGGTGT